GGGGAAAGGGACTTAATAGTGGGTGTCTACTATAGACCATCTCACCAGGGGGATAAGCTGGACCTGGAATTCTCAGGTTGGCTCCTAGAGCCTGTAAAGTCAAGGGATGAGGTTGTCATGGGTGACCTAAACTACCCAGACATCTGCTGGGAGGATCAGTTATCCAGGTCTGACCACTCACGGAGGTTCCTAGCCGGGATGCGGAACCTTCACCTAACCCAGGGAAGTAAATGCCAAAGTGTATAGATATTTACACTATATATCAGGCGATGACCTGATGAAAGGTCTGCAGGTACTTGACCACCTGGGCAACAGTGATCATCGCCTGCTGGAATTTAGTATCCAGTGCAGGGTGGTGAAAGAAAGCAGCAAGGAAGAGGTCCTTGACTTCAGGAGGGCCAACTTCTGTAAGCTAAGAAGGTTAGTAGGAAAGGCATTGGGGTCTCAGAGTTTCAATGAGATGAGATGGGAGTCCAAGACGGGTGGTTGTTCCTCAAGGAGATGATCCTCTGAGCTTAAAGGAAGTCAGTCCCAATGCGCACCAAGGGGGGAAGGAGTGCTAAGAAGCCCCCATGGCTTGGCATAGACATCCAGGGATGCCTGAGGGCAAAAAAGGAGGTGTACAAACAGTCCATTCCTGAGCAATGGATTATGCCTCCATTGCTCAGGACTGCAGGGAGGCTGTTAGGAAGGCCAAGGCAGAGATGGAGCTAGGGCTAGCGACCAGAATTAAGGATAATAAAAAGTCCTTTTTCAAATACATAGGAAGTAAGAAGAAGGCACCGACCAGGTAACGTGGGGCCCCTACAGAATAGGCTTGGCAATCTGGTGATTGCAGCAAATGAAAAAGCTGACCTCTTTAATGAATTCTTTGCCTCCATATTCCTCAACAGGGACCGGGACATCTTCCCCGCTAGAATTGCAGACGGACCCAGGGGAGGCACTGCCATGCCTAGGGTCAGAGGCGACTTAGTTAGGGAACTTTTGGAGGGGCTGGACATGTTTAAATCAGTAGTTACAGATGCTCTTCACCCAAGGGTGCTGAGGGAATTGGCGGGATTCATACCGAGGCCCCTGGCACGCCTGTATGAATGCTCATGGGGCGCTGGCCAGGTAGCAGAGGATTGGAAAAGGGCCAACGTGGTCCCCACTTACAAGAAGGGGAGAAAGGAGGACCCCAGCAATTATAGGCCAGTCAGTTTTCCTCTGTCCTTGGGAAGACCTTTGAGAAAATTATCAAGGAGCACATCTGCAAGGGCCCAGAAGGGAAGATAAAGCTCAGGGGCAACCTACATGGCTTCATTGAGGGCAGGTCCTGCTTGATTAACCTGATTTCTTTTTATGATCAGGTCACAAAGTCCCTGGACGAGGATGTCTGGTGGATGTTGTCTTCCTGGACTTTAAGAAGGCCTTTGACATGGCTTCCCACCGCATTCTCTTTAAAAAAAACTTGGTGACTGTGGCATTGATGCCTTCAGTTAGATGGGTGGCAAATTGGCTAGATGGTCATACTCAGAGAGTGGTGGTGGACAGGTTGTTCTCGACCTGAAGGGATGTGGGCAATGGAGTCCCCCAGGGCTCAGTCCTGAGGCCTGTACTGTTCAACATCTTTGTCAGCGATCTGGATGTGGGTGTGGAATGCATGCTGTCCAAATTAGCTGACGACACCAAGCTGTGGGGCAAGGTGAGCACACTGGAGGGGAGGGACAGAATCCAGCCAGATCTAGACAAATTACAGAGGTGGGCGGATGAGAATAGGATGGAATTCAACACAGACAAGTACAAGGTGCTGCATCTAAGGAGAAGGAACCAGCAAATACACCTATAGGCTGGGGAACACCCTACTTGTCAACACAGTGGCAGAAAGGGATGTTAGAGTCATTGTTGACTCCAGGATGAACATGAGCCGCCAATGCGAGGAAGCGGTCAGTAAGGCTAACCACAGCTTGTCGTGCATCTACAGATGTATCACAAGCAGGTCCAGGGAGGTGATCCTTCCCCTCTATGCGGCATTGGTCAGGCCACAGTTGGAGTACTGCATCCAGTTCTGGGCTCCACACTTCAAGAAGGATGTGGCTAGCACTGAGAGGGTCCAGAGGAGGGCCACTCGCATGGTCAAGGAGTAGCGGGGGAGGCCCCAAAAAAAGAGGGCAAAGGGGAGGCCCTAAGAAGAGAGGCTAAAGGGCCTGAACCTATTCAGCCTCCACAAGAGAAGGCTGAGAGGGGATCTGGTGGCCATTTACAAGCTCACCAGGGGGGACCAGAGAGAATTGGGAGAGGCTCTGTTCCCCCAGGCACCACCCAGGGTTACTAGGAATAATGGCCACAAATTGTAAGAGAGAAGGTTCAGGCTGGACATCAGGAGACATTACTTTACAGTTAGGGCTGCCAGGCTCTGAAATGGGTTCCCAAAGTGAGGTGGTGCTCTCTCCTACCCTGGAGGTCTTCAAGAGGAGGCTGGACAGATATTTGGCTGGGGTGATATGATCCCGGCACCTGTTCCTGCCTGGGGCATGGGGTCGGACCAGATGATCGGTTTAGGTCCCTTTCGACCCTAAGCATTATGATACTATGAAGCTATTCTTGCTTGATATAAGCTAAGAAAAATATTTGTTTATTTACCAAACAGATCATTAAAGTTTTCTCCACTATTTCTTTACCCATCATTTAAAAAAAATGCACCAGGGTCATCTTAAACTATTTGCTTACTTATTTCTGTTCTTACTTTCATCTCCCTACACTGCTCTTTCAAAACAGACAAATAGAAAATGTATACACATTTTGTTTCATAAGAAGCTCTTCAGAGATTGTATGTCAGTAAGAGGAATAGATAACAGTTCTTTACTTACACAGAGAGCTCTAAAGCTTATAAAAAGGCGAGTGCTGGAGCTTTCCTAATTAGAAAGAGTGTGGTATATGATGAGTCTTTTACTGAAGTTTGTTGAAATTTTACTTTTCCCCCAATTTCACAGCTGCCACTGCCTAGGCAAACCACTAATTCTCCCTTAATCACATTCCAACCTTTCATGATACATGCTTATGCAGCATACAACTTGCAGCAACAGCAAGGACAATCTATAGTGAGGTTATTCACATTATGTCCTTTGTGTCTATCTTTCTATTACATTTCACAGTATCTACCCTTTATGAGGAATAAAAAGCTCATCCAACCTTCTCCAAGAGGACCAACAAATCAGTACTGATTTTGATAGAAGGCTAAATGCAAACATAATGTGTATTCACATGGTATTCCCTTAGATTAAAATGTTCAAAGGTTGCCTAAAGGAGTTAGGTACCCTACTTCCATTTAGTTTTAAAGGGCACGTAACTGCTTTGAATACCTCTTTGAATTCCCAATCTAAGTTATTTAAGCTGGGTTCAGCACTATGGATCTATCACTATTGCCACCTCCAGACCCTCACTACTAGCAAATTTTTGGCTGTTCTGCAACTGGCACAACATAAATATAGCACTATTCATATATGAAATGTTGGCATCTCCATTTCTGCATGTCTGCTACTTGTCAACAAGGCACATAGAAGACTGCTGCTGGTTTAATCCCATTCCACAGAAAACGTCAAATATAACGACATTAATTGCTAAACAAACACCACCCAAAGAGACGGCGGGGGGGAGAAGTGGGAAGGGGGGGGTGGAACTAAAGGAAGAAAAGCACAAATAAAAGTTAAGCAACAGACCTAAACCATGGAAGGTGCCATGCATCAAACTGCCAGTTAGTAATGGAGAAAGGTGAGAACTAGAATATCAAACAACAGACTGAGTAGAACAAAATATGTATCAGGAGAGGGAGCTGAACAGGGAACTTCCTATCTAGCTCTATTATTTCATTCTTGCAAGCAATGCTGCATACTGTGTAGATGGTTCCAAAGAGTGGCAGAACCTCAAGGAGAAGACTCTTTGAACAACACAGTGCATGAAATGTATACAATGCATATACTGGGAATTTCATAATGCCTTACTAATTGGAGGGAAAATCTACACTGGGTGCATCTACATGTGCAATTAATTTAGCACACTGGCTCAAACTCTGGAGCAGTTTGAACCAGAGTAAACTATTCCTGAGTGTAGCATCTCTACATGTGCCTGAGACAGCAGCAATTTTAGCCAAGGCAGAGCAGTTTACATCAGGCTGGCAGAGGGCACCAGCGGCCAGTCCCAGTCTCCAGTTTGAGGTAGCAGAGGGGCTGGGTGGAACATGAGGGTGCTGAAAGTGCAGAACCATGTGGCTAGGTGGCAGGCAGGAGTCTGACCCCTGCTGGCTGGGCTGACAGAGCACAATTTATGCCTGTGGTCAGCATCTACATGTACATTTAATTGCAGTTAATTACCCCCCTCCATGAGATAGTACACTATCTTACAACGGCATTAATTAGTGAACTGTGGCCTAATAGCACTGCATGTGTGTCTTTACTCCACAAGTGATGTTTTACTCCCCAGCTAATTAGTCGACTCCACAGCTAAGCACATGTGTAGACATAGCCGCTGACTTCAATAACCAAGGGCTAAGACTGAGTTCTCTTGAAGGTAAAAGATGCTGAGATGTACATTAATGCAAATCCCACTGGAGAAGCTGAGTATACTAATAATGGCCAAACCAGAAAGTAAAAATAGTTCATTTTTACTCAATAAAAATGCATTGTTCAGATCATTTTGGAACAGCGTAATTATCTTTTATAGTGTCCACAATATAAATTAGGTGCTTAAAGAAGACTTCATCTGCAATAAATGTTCTGATGATGATAATGAAGTTTACTGCGTGGAAAAATTATGATTATGTGCTTGCTCATGCTATATGACCATTACAGTTTTTAAAAATATATATATTTAGTTAAAAACATTCAGCAAAAATGGGTTACATAGAACAGTCAAGCTAACTTACTGCAATACACCATTGCTTTATTGTTTTAATGCAAGAAAGGAGCGGGAAAATGTATAATACTGATGAATGCTTGAACACATTGTTACAAAATGTTACTAACCTTGATCTCTTTCATGCCATGTCCGACTCCCAGCAGCTGGTGAATTTGGAGAGGGATAAAAGTCTCCTGTTGGACTTGGCTCCATATTCTCATCTATAGAGATAGTTTTGGGTCTCTTGCTGTTGAAATATCATAAGTGTCGGGATTAAGTCTTATGTACATTTATTTAGCAATGGTATGGCAAAATCTATAAGGATTATGACAAATTTTTGCAAAACAGAGAACAATGTAGGCATTAAACCAAAAAACAAATTTTACACTTAACCTCATGCATAAGTCTGAAACAAGGTTGTTTATATAGTGTCTATTTCTTTTACATTATATACACATGTGCACATGCGCGCACACACACAAATTCCTGCATGTCCTAAATCCAACAGCATTTAAAACATTGGTCAAAGATCTGTTTTCTGCCACCTGCTGTAAAAGACGTATCGTTAAAAAGTTAAATTCTCCAAGGGATTAATTTGAGGCAAAAAAAAACAAACAGAGTTGAACCCATGCCAAAATTAACCAGGCGAAACTGGAATTATTCTGAATCTGTGTAAAGGGAGAAAAAATAGCTTGCTATATCCTACCAGATCAGAGTGCAGGACTTTTACAAGATGCCTATCCTGACATGGTCTTTTCATTTTCAGTTAATTTAATTGACAATGAAAGGCCTGCATTTCAAGTATCACCACTTGTACTATGGCACCATTTCAAATTAGTAGGACAAAGGCAGATTTCTTCTTATCAGTGTAGCAGTTTTCCAAAGAAAGTTGGGGAAAGAAAGGTGGGGAACTAAGCATGAAAAATTTAATAATATTATTTTAAAGTAACTGTGACAGTACTATGAGAATGATTATTCTCTCTTTCTTTCCATTCTTTTTTTAAATTTCAAAGCTTAGTTGAATCCCGGAGCATAGGCTGACTAACCACTACAACCAGATACTGGTAGAAGAATGTTCTAACCTTATCAACAATAATTTTAAAAACTACAAAATCTGCTCTCAAGCCCAGACAGTTACTGTTTCATTGATGAGGTAATACTCTTTGACAACAAAGATCCCATATAAAACATAGTACTCTGATATTGTGATACCCTGGTAGCTTCAGCAAACCAAGCAATACCACAACTTATTGTTCTGGAATAGGAATATAAATCCAAAATCCCTGGGCAAAACAGATTCTCCACTCATCTATCTCATCTCTCTGGTGCTGCCTGATATATCTAGGATCCCTGCACCAAAAGTTGGTTCACAGAATCAGAATATACAAATAGAGAGAACAGACAAAAGTGCAGCTCCCATGTCTAACAGCGATTCATAGAAAGCACCATGAGTTAGACTGATTCTCCTGACTCAACAGACATTAGTTATTGGATCAGGAGGTTGGGGGATTGGCTCCAACATAGAGCCAATCCAGGGAGACAGGCTGCACCTGTGCAGCCTCTCCCCGTAGCTCCACTCCCCTTGCAACTCCACTGCTGTCTCAGAATGGGAGGGGAAGAAGGCAGGGGAGAGAGGTCCATTCGGGGTTCTCAGCCCCACTGGAGTGGAGAGTAGGTACACTGGAGTGCCCCTGAAGTGAGGGGCTCCAATCCACCTGCCCCCTCCTCCACCCCAGCAGGGGTGAAAGAACTCCAGAATGAACCTCCTTCCCCTGCCTTCTCTCCCTCCCATCCTAAAATAGCAGCTGCAGCCAAGGCATACAGAAATTAATGAAGGCACTCTGCTTTGGAGCGTCTTCATTTGAACCCTCATACAATAAGGGTTAATTTGTTGCATGATTGGAACACTCTAGCCATGCTCTTCTGTTTGGGCTTTCGAGTGGTTTCAAGGGGCCAATTGCACAACAAACGTCATTTCTATCTGTAACCAGAGAGGAGAGAAGTGAACTGCGGCAGAAAGCAGGTGGCACCGTAAGGATGGAGCCACAAGTACACTTATTGTCCCCTAACACCAGCCCAAAGAAAATTCCCCAGAAAAACTAGGAGAGCTTGTATTAGTATTGTATATTTCTCCAGTTCCTCCTCTATACTGAGGAACTTCCAATTAGGAGAGGTCCAGGAACTGTGCCATCTGACACAATGATGAGGCCAGGTAAACAGACCCGTTAGAGGTAGCCTCTGCCCATTTGGGCACCTAACCCATGCCTATTCCAGAGTGAGCAATCTTTTCCTGAATGTAACATTCAGAGAGGAATTCCAACAGGGGATCCTTCACCCACTGTGCTCTCCTGTAGAATGCAGATCTGGTCTTTGGTGTTTTGATCCCCATAGGCCACATTTAATGTGGTTGCTGGTTCTCATTTTCCCCTTCCCTATGCCTAACCCATGATGTACATGCAATTATCAGTCAGCATCTTCTTGAGAGTCAGGCTTCAAATTTTCACACTTTTCTAAGAATTGTCTTGGCTTATTTTCCAAAAGGTGGAGAATTCTAGTTGGAAAATGAGATTATTCATCGTTCTCCCAGTAGGAGCTTCAAGTGTCTAAGCATCTTTTTTTTGAAGGAATGCAGAAAGTAAGGAAAGGCAGCAAAGATAATTTCAGAAATAGAAATGTTAAATTAAAATAAGCTGTGTTCATCCATAGAGCTGTAAATGTAGCCTGAATTAGCTGGTAATTTTAAATACATCATGCATAGCATCCTTCTTGAGAGTCTAAAATCATTGTTTAATTTACTGAGAAGTAAGTTTCAGATTGCTCTTCTAATAAACCACTGGAAAATGGTTTGTCTCTAATAGCAGTAGGAAGTGGTTTACAAATGTGACAGAAGCTGTATCATCTGAAACATCAGTGTTAATACTACACAGCTCTATCACCCTTTACAGGAAGATATTTTCCACTGTGAATTAATAACCTAGTAATAATTTATAAAACATACATATTTGACTTTTCTATGCAACATTGGTCAGGCCACAGTTGGAGTACTGCATCCAGTTCTGGGCACCGCACTTCAGGAGGGATGTGGATAGCACAGAGAGGGTCCAGAGGAGGGCCACTCACATGATCAGGGGCAGCAGGGTAGGTCCTATGAGGAGAGACTATGGGACCTGAACCTGTTCAGCCTACACAAAAGAAGGCTGAGAGGGGATCTGGTGGCCACCTACAAACTTGCCAAGGGGGACTAGCAGGCAGTGGGAGAGTCCCTGTTCCCCCGAGCACTACTGGGAGTTACAAAGAATAATGGCCATAAGCTGACTGAGAGTAGGTTCAGGCTAGACATCAGGAGGCACTACTTCACAGTCAAGGCGGCTAGGAGCTTGAACCAACTTCCTAGGGAAGTGGTGCTCGCTCCTACCCTGGGGGTCTTCAAAAGGAGGTTAGATGAACACCTTGCCAGGGTCGTTTGACCCCAGCATTCTTTCCTGCCCATGGCAGGGGGTTGGACTTGATGACCTGCTTAGGTCCCTTCTGACCCTACCAACTATGAAACTATGACTTGGTAAAAGCAAACAGAATTCATGAAATTATGCACTTAGTCTGTGGTATCTGTGAACTGCTTTCCCATCTAATCAACACTAACTTCCCACAATCAACCAACCAATCATTTATTCATTATTATTATTATTATTATTATTATTATTATTATTATTATCAGTAGTATTATTAATTACTCTTAGTTATTATTTATTGCTTTTTCAATGCTTATGCTTTTACCTGCTTGGTGGAGAAGACAGTGACCTCTGTAGATTCACACCGGAGTTCATGTCATGGTAGTATGGTTGGCTCGGAAGCTCTCCAATTGGGAAGTTCACCCCAGCTCCCTGGGTTATAGGTGCTGAAGAACATGTTATTAAGAGTCAAAAGTAATCTCTAATCCTTTTACCATCTTCTCCATTTTAACACTGAAAAAACCTTGCAATATGACAATGTGTACCTATTCTACCTATTGAGGAAATCAAGCACAGACAAGTTCTGTTAATATTTTCCCACCTTAACCTATCACCCTCACCATCACAAACCTCTTAACATTTATACAGTTTTATTTATTATTTTGTAAAGAATTCTTTCATAACAGACAACATAAAAGAACTGATACAAAGAAATGGATAAAACTGTGATACAAAGCATTAACATTACAGAGTACCTAGTCATTCTAAAAGTGGCCTGTATGATAAGACCACACCACACTGTTTCTTTTGCCTTTTATCCTTGACACAGACATTGTGCATTAGCCCACACATACTATAATCTTAACTTTCATCTGCTGTCTGAATATTGTACATTTGAACAACCTTTGGCACTTCAAGAATAATTGCATATTGTGTAACATATCAGAAGGTTTGAATTTTTCTGACAGTGAAAGCACAGCTCTGTTGCAGCTTAAAGTTAAATGCATGGGGAAATATCACCCAGAAACCATACGCTTTTAAGTTTATTATGAGAAGTATATTATGGCTAGGAACAGATGTGGCTTGTGGCCCAGGACAAGTAATGTATAAGTTTGACCTGAATAAAAATGTCCCAGGATTAGTATGTCCACTAGGCCTGTGCAAAGCGGCTAGTATTTGCTTCAGATTTGGCCTGTTTGGGGGCTGGTGATTCGATTTGGTGATTTGAATCACCAGAGTGCTCAAAAGCCCCCATGGCTCACCAAAGGCATTCAGGAACATGTGAAAGCTGAAAAGAAGGTGTATACCCGATGGGAGGGAAGGGCCATCACCAAGGAGGATTATACCTCCATTGCTTGAAACTGTAGTGGGGGTGTTAGGAGTAAGGTGGAGACAGAACTAGGACTAGCGACCAGGATCAAGGATAACAAGAAGTCCTTTTTTAAATGCACAGGGAGTAAAAAGAAAGCACCAGATAACGTGGGGTCCCTGCAGGACATGCTTGGCAATCTGGCGGTTGCACCAGACAACAAAACTGACCTCTTTAACAAATTCTTTGCTCCGTTTTTCTGAGCAGGGACCAGGACATCCACCCCACTGGGATTCCGGATGGACTCAGGAGAGGCACAGCCAGGCCTAGGGTCAGAGAGGACCTAGTTAGGGAACTTCTGGTGGGGCTGGACGTGTTCAAATCAGGTCCAGATGATTTCCACCCCAGGGTGCTGAGGAAATTGGCAGAGGTCATTGCGGAGCCCCTGGCATGGCTTTATGAGCACTCATGGTGCTCTGGCCAGGTGCCAGAGGAGTGGAAAAGGGCCAATGTGGTCCACATTTTCAAAAAGGGGAGGAAGGAGGACCTGGGAAACTATAGGCCCGTTAGTCTTATCTCGGTCCTGGGGAAGCTCTTTGAAAGAATTATCCAAGAGCACATCTGCGAGGGACCAGCAGGGGACATTATGCTTAGGGGCAACCAATATCGGTTCATTAGGGGCAGGTTTAAAAAACTAGGGGACTGTGGCGTCGATACCTACGCAGTCAAATGGGTCACTAACTGGCTGGAGGGCCACACCTAGAGAGTGGTGGTGGACGGGTCATTTTCGACCTGGAGGGATGTGGGCAGTGGGGTTCCCCAGGGCTTGGTCCTTGGGCCCGCACTGTTTAACATCTTCATCAGCTACTGGGATGAGGGGGTGAAAAGCACCTTGTTCAAATTCATGGATGACACTAAGATGGGGGGAGAGGTGGACATGCTAGAAGGAAGGGACAGGCTACAACTAGATCTGGACAGGTTACAGGGGTGGACGGATAGGATATAATACTGACAAGTGCAGGGTATTACACCTGGGGAGGAAGAACCAGCAGCATACCTACAGGCTGGGGAACTCCCTTCTTGTCAGCACAGAGGCAGAAAAGGATCTTGGAGTCATTATTGATTCCAAAATGAACATGGGCTGCCAATTTGAGGATGTGGTCACTAAGGCTAACTGCACCTAGTCATGCATCCACAGATGCATCACGACCAGGTCCAAGGAGGTGATCCTCCCCCTCTATGCAACATTGGTCAGGCCGCAGTTGGAGTACTGTATCCAATTCTGGGTGCCACACTTCAGGAGAGATGTGGACAGCATTGAGGGGGTCCAAAGGAGGGCCACTCACATGATCAGGGGGCAGCAGGGCAGGCCCTACGAGGAAAGGCTACAGGACCTGAACCTGTTCAGCCTCCCCAAGAGAAGGCTGAGAGGGGATGAGGTGGCTGTCTATAAACTTACCAGAGGGGACCAGCGGGGAACAGGAAAGTCCCTGTTCCCCCAAGTACTACCAGGAGTAACTAGAAATAACGGCCATACGGTGATTGAGAGTAGGGTCAGGATAGACTTCAGGAAGCACTACTTCACAGTCAGGGTGGCTAGGATCTGGAACCAAGTTCCAAGGGAAGTGGTGCTTGCTCCTACCCTGGGGGTCTTCAGAAAGAAGCTAGGTAATCAGCTAGACAGGGTCATTTGACCCCAACATTCTTCCTGCCCATGGCAGGGGGTCAGACTTGATGATCTGCTCGGGTCAGACTTGATGATCTGCTCAGGTCCCTTCCAACCCTACCAACTATGCAACTATGAATCACTGTCCCAAATTGATTCAGCCGAATCTGATTCTGAATCTCTGAATTGGCCCCATCCCCCACCCACTCTCAATGGCTGCCTCGCCCACTCTCCCAGCTCCTGGCTTTTTAAAAAAAAGGGGAAAAAAAAGCCCCTGGCTCCCCAGTTGCTGCCAGGTAGGGGGGACAATCCTCACTGCCCCCCACTGCCCCATGCCATGTGGGGGGCTATGCCAGGAGCCCCCCAACCCCTGCCTGTTCTCCCAGCCACACCCACCATGGTTGCCCTTCCCGCCCCAGCTCCAGGCCCTTTGGAAAAAAAAATGGAAGAAAAAAAGCTCTCACTCTACCCCGAGCACCCAGAAGCCCCGAGGCCACTGCAGCAGCCAGTCAGTGGAGGCTTTTTTAAAGGTCTGGGAGCTGAGGTGGGTGGGGCAGCCATGGTAGGGGGGCTGGAAGAGGGGATGGGGATTGGGGGGATTGTGGCAGAGCCCTTCATGAAGCATGGAGCAGTGGGGGGCAGTGGGGATTGTTGCCTTCCTTTGCAGCAGCCAATGAGTGGGCGCTTTTTTTAAAGAGCCAGGAGCTGGGGCTGGGTGGGGCAGCCATGGCAGGGCTAGGACAGCAGGCAGGGGGCACTCACGGGGGCTGGGGCAGCAGGCTGGGGATGGGGCCTGGCAGAGGTGCCCTGCATGGTCCCCTCCCCCATCCCCTACTTACCAGCATGGAGTCTGGATCCAGCTCCCTGCTGCAGCAAGAAGGGACTGCCCGAATCGCTGAAGCTCTGCTAATCTTTTCTGAATTGATTCAAAGAGCTTCAAATAGTTTTGGGCCTTTTAATTGGTCTCCTGATTCAATTTGGATTCGGAGATTCAGCCACCGAATCGAGCCGACTCTCCTCTGAATCAAATCAGCACTCAAAGCTTTGCACAGCCCTAATGTCCACACACTGCCCATCTAATCAGGGTTTAGTGAGCGACTAGATGCACTGCTGCTTTTCTGCCTTGACTCAATGATGCAATCGTGGGACATCCATTCAAATGTATTTCATAATGTCCTGGGACAAACTGTTAGCACTTCTTACCCCATGAACCTTTTTAGGGTTTGACCTGGGACAATGAACAGAGACATCCAAATGATTACACTTACTCCTAGGGAAAACTGTTTCTCCCAGGACAAGTGTGATGTCTGTAGCCTATGTGTAACAGTGAGAAGGAGAGAGTAAGGTAACAATACTGTCATAAAATGCTTTTCTAAATGGGCAATAGCTTAAAAGTATATGCTCGAGTTCCTTGAACAAAATAACGGATGAGCGTGCGCAAACCTGCATTCCACATATGCAAATCCCTGACTTACATAAGAATATTCAATGCTGCTCACGCACAACCCTATCAAACACAAAGTGCATGTAGCTTCATATTGAGGGAACAAACTGTGCTCTTGAATATTTCTTCCCAACTTTTGCAAAATAAAATAATTCAACAGGAATTGTACGTGCGTATCTATGCACCTAATGGGTCTCCAAAACCCAGTACTAAGGTAAAAAGCTAGCAGTTTTATTCAATCAATATATTCTGTACATATCCCAGTGCAATATTACATTTTGCTGATGTAATTTTACTGACTTTCAACTGAATTATTCTTGATTCATAAAACTATGAAGAAAGAATCATGCCTTCAGCCCTTACAAGCTAATTAAAACCCTGTAATTTTCCTGTTCTAGCCTGAACTAGCTCATGTGTGAAATCTGGGTGGATAGTTTAAAAGTGTTCTCTCATTTTTGGTGTTGTGTCAAACTCCTCATCTGAGCAATGTTCCTCCTTGAACGTTCAACCATCAAAATAGCAATGAACTCCACACTTGTTACTGTGCATGCTTCTAAACATAACTTCTGAATGTTTTTTTTTTGGTTCACTTCCTTCCAAATTAAATCTCAAAGAGAAAGGCATGAATAGCATTTACTTTAAGTACAAGAAGGGAATGCACCAAATACAAGGGCAAAATAAATACATAGATTATTTTACCCCATGTTAAAACTCAAAACTGTAGATTCTTGACTGCTAAAAACAGGAGATATTCTTAAATTAATTTTATTCATAATTTTGCCCTCTGTTTCTTATTAAAAATCTCTTCTTGCCCATCTTCATTTCCTATTTGTAATAATATTTCTGCATCTGTATGTTGTGTTTGCTCATGAGTAGATTCTGTATTAAGCCCATGTATTCCTACCCTACTACCTGTGAGCCCACCTGCACCCTGTGCCTGTTTCCCTGATGCCTGTTCTTCCCTGCAGTGCCTGCATCCCCTACCACCTGTCCCCACCATCATTTGTCCCCATTCCACTTGCACAAACCAGTGCCTGCCCTCTCCGTTGCTTGCCCCCCACAGAGCTCCTCACCTCCACTCCTTACCTTCCCCTCAGTTCTGGCTCTAGCTCAGGTCCCACACTGGTCCAGGACAGGGAGCATGTGCTGCCTCTGGTCCCAGCCCAGACATGCATCAGCAACAGCTCTGGCTTCAGCCCCAGAGCCAGAGCCAGAGCCAGGCCTGGAACTTCCTCTGCGTGGCTGGGCTGGAGCTGGAAGGAGCATGTGCTCTGTGCTCCCTACTCTAGCCTGGAGTGAGACCACAGCCAGAGCCAGAGGCAGAGCCAGAGCTGTGAAGGGAAGGGAAGCAGTGGTGGGAGGTGGGCAGGATAATGGCAGGGAGCAAAGGTGGGGAAGGGAGAGACTACGAAAGGCAAGTTTTGTGGGGAGGAGAAGGGGGTTAGTGGCTCCTGGGGTCAGTGTCAGAGCTACAACCACTGCCTCTGCCAACTTGTACTTTAATCTAAGATGAGGGACTTCCCCCCTCATGTTGAAGCGGGGTACCTCACCTTAGATTTGAGTAAAATACAGTATTCCTACAGTCTACACTTGCTATGATGCAATTTTCCTTTAAAGGCCATTACTCTTTACTTTGGAGAGTAAAGTAAATTTTAAAAGTTTAAATTTAAAAAGATGGTTCAGCATAATTTCAAACATGAACAGAATGGCAAGAGAAAGTTGAAAGTTCAACCAAAAAAAAGTCCATTACTGAGATGTCATTTTATTGACATCTCAGTCCATTAAACCTTACATAAATCAATTTGCTGTGCATTCCTGAGTTATGAAGAAAGATGTTTCATTCAAAACCTGAACAAAACAAAAGAAAACCTATTTTTATTATAAATGTATGCAAGATGAACTGTGCACAAGATTAGCAAAATTCTGTGCAACAGGAAAAACTTTCTGCCTGGGTTCAGGCCTGAAGTCAACTGACAGTCTGCAATTGCTTTCAAAAAGTTTGGAATAAAGCTATTTGCACATATTAGGTCATTAAGTGTGGTTTGTTAACTTACTTCTGGACACCCTCACAAGTTCTGACACGTTGAAGACTCCAGATTTCACAAAACTATCCTCAAGGTACACTGAAAAAGATCACAATACTATAATCAGCATGCTTAGAAGACAAAAGCACAGACCATTTCATGTCACAATTAACTAAGAAAGGCCAAAAAGTAGATCAAAATACACTGAGCTTAGACACGGTAAGAGTTAAAATCCAAACTGATATGTTCAAAAATTAAGATTCTAAAGAGGAAAAATAAAAGGCCTCCAAGAAAATTAACAAGCAGTACACTAAACACAGGATTTTGTAAAATGTGGTGTGGGAGCAAACATCAGTGTTGCAGGGATGACTACACCCCTGCTCCCAGTTTCCCCCCTCCCCCACTGGAATAGGCAAACCACACTGGGGAAGCAGCAACCACATACTTTAAGTCCCAAAACCAGATAAAAATCTCCCCCACACAAACTCTCTCCTCCGTGCTCAGCCCCTCTCCTCCGTGCACTGCTGCTGTTCCCAGCTGATCTGGGGTTTGGAGGAGCTCCACAGCTGCTCCTGCCCCACTCTAGTCAAGCTGCACATGAAGCAGAGCTCAGGCAGTGGCAGGCAGTTTCCCCTTCTGTAAGCCTGCTTTGAGGCAGAGGCAGGGGAACTGGTCAAGGAGGAGGAACAGTAGAGAAGGACAGCAGCAGTAGTGGGTGGAGGAGGGGGAATGGGATGGGTAGAGACATGCTGCTGAGCCTGGAGGGAAAGGAAGGTAGGATTTTTTCCTGTTTGTGGGAGTTAAAATTTTCCCCAGCTGCTGCTTTCACAGTGTGGTCCAAAAGCAGGGTCCAACCATGCCACTGAACTGGCTCTAGATTGGTCCCTGACTAAAAACATAGCCAGACCATTTGAGAATGGTATATAATAAGTGCTTTTCATTATTCTTTTAAATGTTGATAACAGTACCAAAATGAAAAGAGGTTAGAACATTGCATATTGGATTAGGTAACTTGGTAATAGCACAGTAAACCACCCTTCTCTCCAGGCTAGGTGTTTCTGGAGTCTGGCTTAAGCTGATATCAACTATGAGTTACCATGTTAGTGCCCAGCTCTTTGTCTTTGAAGCCAACAGGAGTTTTGCCATTGACTTCAAATGGGAGCAAGAGAAGAAGTAGGACCCGGTACCTCTAGTGGCGAGTGTGAAGCATGTCTTTATCTTGATGCTGAGCACATATTAGAAGTTTAGACAGTCAGATGTTAAACTTTTGGTTTCTATTAACTATAATGAAGGCTTCTGTTTACCTGTATTAACTTTCCCTGTTACTGAAATGCAGTCATACCTGGAAGTGATGAAGTGATACAAGAACTGACATGAAAAACAATTAATATACATAGTCCCAGTGATGTGGCTTCAGGACTTTCAAACAGACAATAAAGAAACCAAGATTTTCTTTGAAGTCTCTTATTCATGTACCACCCAGCTTGAACTTGTTGGGGTTGAGTTCAAGCCTTTAGATATATGAATGCAGACCATTCATTTTTGGATTTATTGGGTTTTACATTCTATTAATATTAGGACTTACACCTGTCACAACCCAAAGGGTGTGATTTTTGTTTTTGTGTGCTTCGGCACTGCTAAATTGTTCCCGCTAAATTATAGCTTCTTTGCACGGTGGAGTTTTCTGCTGCAAAAGAGAACCCCGGTGCAAGGGAGAATTTCCCGCCAATTTGAAGCTTTCTTTGCAGGGTGCATTTCTTTGTTGCAGCACAGAAATGCTCATTGCAAAGAGTTCCCACCATTTGTATGCTAATTCGAGCCCCATTATTGGCCAGTTCTAAATTATTCACACGTGGCGGCTAGTGATTGGCTTGCTAGCCGTATAAAAGGCTTGAGTGGTTTCCGCCCAAGTTGGAGGACTCCATGAACACCGGGAGGAGGAGACTTCACGCTGTGTGAAGATCTCTAAGCGCTGCGGAGCTTATTGAACCCAGTGCATTTCAAGCAGGCAACAGAGGTCTGATCAGCCTCTAGCCTCTCCCCGTCGCCGATAGATTCCTAGACGTATCCCTCCCCACGCGCAAAAGAACCGGACCCACGAAGCCTAGCAAACTTCGTGGGGATGAGTGAGCAGAAGGACCCACGGAGCCTAGCAAACTTCGTGTGAGTTTATTCAGAGCTCTTCCGGACGAGTACTTTCTTCGGTTGACACGACGGGCTCGCGTGTTTAGAGCCCTCAGCCGGATTGGGCTAGAGTTCACAAGTTTAGAACTCTTGTCCGCCTCTCTTCTTTCCTGTCTGTAACCGCAACTCAAGCAAGTTTTCCAGCCTACACCACTGCCATCTCGGTGTAAGTAAACAATCTTTAAAACTACCGCTAAGCGTTTGTGCCTAATTCCAGCTCGTCGCCCTCCCTCTCCGATCCAGCGTGCCCGGGCTGCTGGCCACAGCCCGCGTGCAGCACAGAAAAGGGCTCGGGTCGCTCCTGGCCTGCACAACACCTATGACTGAATAAAATATATATAATTTTTCCTATGTTCTCCTATTCAACTAAAATGCTCTTTACCTCATACTTTTTGGAATTCTATATAATCCTTTACAACATCATTCATATCATGAATGTTACTGGACTAAACCAATAGCATATTTAAGCAAGTGCTCTTAAAAAGGTGGATTCCCCCCACTCAGGTATTAGGTATTAACATCGTGGATTGTACTACTAATAAAATAAATACCTTAGCCAACAGGAAAATATAAAAAAGAAACTTAAAAGTACCTACTGGAGATCATCGTTGATCGCACTCAAATGATCTGGAATATGTAATGGAAATGTGGCAAGGCTTGAAAATACTCCTCTAATGTGTTTTTAGGAAGCTAGCACCTTCCACTTTCAAGTAATTTGGCAAGACTATAAAGTGAAGGTATAGACAGAAAAGTAGCATGCTTTACTTAAGCGATCTTTCCCTGAATGCACTAGGAATTAAATTTGCTTATTTTCAAGTTTTTGTTATTTTTCACCTTCTGCAAGGTGAGTATTGTTCTCAGAGAGAACTGAACTCTTTTTCAGTTCACATATCACAAATGAAATTAACTAGCACATATGTCTATGGCTGCAAACAGATGTTGCATTTATTCCAGGATAGACCATTTTATCCCAGGAAAAACTGCACTCATGAAAACGTTGATGTTTATTGTCCTAGGATAAATTCTAAAAAGGTTTTCCAGATAAGAGGTAGTAACAGTTTATCCCAGGAGATTGCAATGTATGTCTGTTCAGAATTGCATCACTGAATCAAGGTCAGAAAAGTGGTAGTGCTTTCAGGCACTCAAGGGTGATGTGTTTACAGGCCAATCCCAGGATATTTTTGTTCCAGGACAAACAAAAGCTCAGCTTGTCCAGGGACAGATGCAACATCTGTTCCTAGCCTAAATGAAGTGCACCTGACAAGATAAAAAAATACTAACACATGCAACTGAGCTCACACTTGATCATTTATTTCTATCTCCACTGCCATCTTTGCTATTCTATTTGTTGAAAATTTCAAATGGTAAAATTGAAAAGGACCAATGGTAATCAGCTTCCAGATCCACAGAACCACTATGCCAATACGTATCACTGACTGGCACAGCACAATATGTCATGACATTTCCAACTACAAGTAACACTAATATATGGTGTTACAAGACCTATGTTTCCATTAAATGGTGAGGTAGATTTGTAGGTCTCCCTCTCATGCCTCTTTACTCCCATCCTTTTCTCTCTCTCTTTCTTTCTTTCTCTCTCTCTTCTGACAGCTTCTCTCTACTTTAATTTCCCCATTCATTTCTGCTAAGAAGAATGGATGGATTATCCTATAAAAGATTTTTCCTCATGTGTCAAGGAGGCCTGAACATGCTACATGCTCTGTCCCTGGAATCCCTTCCTTTTTTGTGCCCTTATGACAAGGTATTTAGCAGAACCCACAGATTTACTGGAACCTTACAGGCCACACCATGAACACTTTTTCTAGGGCCTTAACCTTGCAACCTCTGGGCTGTCAACTGTGTGCCTTAGCATCCACCCCACCCCCAAATCTAAGGAGTAACAAGTTATTTTACTTAGGGTTGGCAAGCCGTTTAATTGACCAGTCAAATATTGTGAATTGACTGCATATTTTTGACTGGTCAAAGTTTATAGAAATTATACAAAAAAAAACTTTTTTTTTTTTTTTTCTTGACAGAAATACAATTTTTTTAAATTGCTTTTGACACATTTCTTTCTTAACAGAAAACTTATACTTCTTCTGTGTATTAGTTGGACCTACTGGCAATCTTTTACAATTTTTGACCAATATTTAACCAGTCAATTGAACAAACTTTATTAGACCTGTCAAATACCTAACTCTAATTTTACTTTCTTCCCCCACTTCTTAATATTCATATGAGCAACTTGGACAAAGGATGCACAAACTCTGATGATATTTGTGAACTTTCCTTTCTATACCTCCCTCCTTAAACAGTGCCATCTGAGTTGGCACATGGATGTGACACTTCCCAGGAACATTGAAGTTTCTTGATTCTAGCTGGCCTGAGTGCAGCCTTTCCTGAAGCTAGTGATACACTAGGGCAGGGCTTCCCAAACTTTTCCTCACCATGACTCCATTTATGTCCCCATTTCCTCAGCATGACCTCATTTCTTCAGCATGGCCCCTCACTCCCTGCGATCCCATCCACTGATGTTGTGACCCCATTTGGGGTTACAACCCACAGATTGGGAACCGCTGCAGTAGGGACTAAACACGTCTGTGTGGAACACGCTGTTGTTTTCTAATGCGGCCATGTTCATAGATTCATAGATGCTAGGGTCGGAAGGGACCTCAACAGATCATCGAGTCCGACCCTCTGCCTAGGCAGGAAAGAGTTCAGATGACCCCAGCCAGACGCCTATCCAGCCTCTCTTAAAGACCCCCAAGGTAGGGGAGAGCACCACCTCCCTTGGAGGCCCATTCCAAATATGGCAATCCTTACCGTGAAGAAGTTTTTCCTGATATCTAGCCTAAATCTGCTGTCAGTTTGTGACCATTGTTCCTTGTTACCCCAAGAGGTGCCCTGTTGAACAG